TTATCGTTTATATTTTGTCCTACCTCCCTTCGAAGACAATGGGCTGCTTTTCTGGGCGCCTGATGTCCTCTGCTAGCGATCAGAAGTTGTTTTGTGAAATTTTCTCAGCGTTCAAATGTTCTTTCGATGAATTTGTAGGGGAGAAAGTGGTCTCCCCGTCCTATTCCTCCACCATCTTTATTATTACTATTTCAAGCTAATAGTTATTGCTTAGATCAATGAAGAATAAAAACACTTTCTTTACCTTCATTTATTCCTCCCTCAATGCTTATCCTTTTTTAAAACTGTAGATACAATGTACAGAACAGACTTTGGGACTCTGTGGGAGAAGGCGAGGGTGGGATGTTCTGAGAGAATAGCATTGAAACAAATATACTATCAAGGGTGAAACAGATCACCAGCCCAGGTTGGATGCATGAGACAAGTGCTCAGGGCTGGTGCACTGGGAAGACCCAGAGGGATGGGATGGGGAGGGAGGCGGGAGGGGGGATGGGGATGGGGAACACATGTAAATCCATGGCTGATTCATGTCAGTGTATGGCAAAAACCGCTACAATACTGTAAAGTAATTAGCCTCCAACTAATAAAAATAAATGGAAAAAAAATAAAATGTAGATACAAGTTTTTGACTTATATCATTTTCCTTCGCCCGAGTAAATCTTTTAACCTTTCTTGAGAGACAGGTGATAGATTTCCTCAGCTTATGTTTATCTGAGTAAATCTTTCTTTTTCTTTCAGTTTTGAAGAGTAATTTCTCTGAATGTAGCATTCTAGATTGGTATTTTTGTTATTTCAACAAGAAAGCTTTGACTCCATTCTGTCTTGCACGGTTTCTGACGGAACGTCTGCTAAAATTCTGTTTCATCTGAAGGTAAAATGTTTTTTCCCCTCCCTCTTCCTTCTTTCCATATTTTCTCTCTGTCATTGGTTTTCTGCAGTTTGGATATGATATGCCTGCAGGTAGATTTTTTCTTTTTGGCATTTATTCTGCTTAGTGATCTCTGTTATTCTGGAAATGGAGAGATTATTCATTTTGGAAAGTTCTTTGCTATTATTATTATTCAAATATTATGTCCCATTCTCTCTTTTTCCCTTCCCGTATTCCAGTTATGCATTTATTACACCTTTTGAAATTGTCTCATCACTCGTTTGTTTGTTTGTTTCTGGCTGTGCTGTGTGGCTTATGGAATCTCAGTTCCCTGATCAGGGATTGAACCTGGGCCTTGGAACTGGAAGCCCAGGATCCTAACCACTAGGCCCCCAGAGAAACTCCCCTGCCCACTACTCTAGAATGTCCTGGGGTTTTTTCATTTTTTGAATTTTAGTTTGGAAATCTTCTATTGATCTATTTTTCTTTTTAAATATAGCTGATCTACAATATTATGCTAATTTCATGTGTGCATCTATTGACCTTCTTTAAAGCTCACCGTTTCTTCTCTGGGCATGTCCTTTCTGATGATGGGCTCATCAAAGGCAGTCTTTATCTAAGTCACTTCAGTCATGTCTGACTCTGTGTGACCCTATGGACTGTAACCTGCCAGGTTTCTCTGTCCATGGGGATTCTCCAGGCAGGAATACTGGAGTGGGTTGCCATGCCCTCCTCCAGGGAATCTTCCCGACCCAGGGACCAAACCCGCATCTCTTGTGTCTCTTGCATCTCCTGTGTATTGGCAGGCAGGTTCTTTCCTAAAGCACCACCTGGGGAGCCCCAAGAGCCTCTGAGGGGTTCCTAAAACTTCAAATATCATGGGCTGTCAGCCCCATTGGAGACTGTGAGTCAGCAGACATGTGGGCCCACCCAGAGTGTAGAGGTCTCCCCAAGAGCAGGATGGTGCAGAGCTGTCGGAGGACGGCTTTGAAACTGCAACTCTCCACTCGTCAAAAGGATCAGCAACGGCGTGCTTACTCCATGAACTCTGGAGGCTTCTTTGCCATGAAAAGAAGCCTGGAGTCAATACATCATATTTCTCTGTTTCCTTTTCAAAAAATCTCCCTCAGCAGAAATCTTCCAAAAAAGAAGATGATTTTAAATTGTTAACCTTGATGGCTTTGTATCAGCCTCTTTTCCTAGTACAAACAGGGACTAGGAGATGGCATAGCCTTCTAAAGAGTCTTCTGCATGAGAAGTTTTGATTTCCCGTGCTATTTAAATAGAAGGCAATTATTACCTGGAACACTACTCAGCCATTAAAAAAGAGTGAAATAATGCCATTTGCAGTAACACGGATGGACCCAGAGATTGTCACACTGAGTGAAGTAAGTCAGACCGAGAAGGAGAAATATCGTATGATGTTGCTCATGTGCAGAATCTAAAAAGAAAGGATACAAGTGAACTTATTTGACAAAGAGGAACAGACTCATAGAGAACAAACTTATGGTTCCCAGGGCGAGTGGTAGGGGAAGGGATGGTTAAGGAGTTTGGGGTTGACATACACGTGCTGCTCTAGTCTCCTGTGTCCGTTAAGTCGCTCAGTCGTGTCTGACTCTTTGCGATCCCATGGACTGCAGTCTTCTATATAGTAAACAGCAATTATCTTCCAATAGAAATAAATAAAATGGATAACCAATAAGGACCTATTGTATAGCACAGGGAGCTCTCCTCAATATTGTGTATTAATAACAGTGTAAATTGAAAAAGAATTTGAAAAAGAATAGATGCATGTATACATGTAGCCAAATCACTTTGCTATACACCTGAAACTAACACAGCATTGTTAACTATACTTCATTATAAAACAAGAAGTTTAAGAGAAAAAAGACAAGACTAAAATGTAGTTACTGTCATTTGCCAGATGAACCTCTAGATCTTACAGGGCAGAATGTAAGCTGGGCACTATAATTTTAGGTATCCATGGCTTTGCGCTCCCAACACACACACACACAATTGGTGTTTTAGAGATTTAATATTCAGAATATGTTGGTAGTTGAGTCAGTGTTATTCTTTTCTCAGTAAGAAACTTGGAAACTGAGGCCGAAATGTTACGCGTGTCGGTGACAGGAATTCAGATCAGGAGCATGAGTCACGGGGACTGGAAATGCCCCTGGAAATGAGACCGGCCTCCCTGTGTCACGTGTGAGTGTTGCATCAGTGTGGGCCTGCAGTGGGTGCACACACGTTCCAACGGCTGCAGTTCTGTCTGCTCGCAGGCTCTGGTAAACGGGGACCCCCTGGTGCCCTGGGATCTCACGCTGCACAGAAAGAGCGACAACTCCTAAGGGATATTTTAGAAGAGCCGGACAAGACTTAGTGACTAAACAACAACCACCAGGTGTATTTTATTAACCTCAAACATGGAATGTGCAAACCGTAGACTCAGGTCGCGTGACATGGCAGTGAGTTCTTACATGCACTCACGCACACAGACAAAGCTCAGTGCCCACTTCAGCTGAGTGCCGGCTTCCTCCCTGCCACGCGTGGGCGGGTGGATGCCATTGACAGAGCCACATGGTAAGAATGCCAGGCACCCCTGTTTTCATGTGATAAAGGTGTTCCCGTGGAGCTCAGGATGCCGTGCGTGTCCTAGCCGCTCCGCTGAGTCCTACGGCACGACTGTCAGTGTGTGGCTGTCTCAAGCCCAGGTTCACAGCCATACGGGTCGGGTCGAAACGTCAGTTTTTCCTTCCCTGAGAGCCTGCAGCATGCTCAGTGCCAAATGCTCACCTTCAAGGGTGGAGATGCATTTTATACTTGAGGCAGCTCCGGAAGCTCATTCTACTTCAGAAGGGTGACTTCTCTCGTCCTCGGTGCTGGGCTGTTAGACTTCCTGCTTCTCTTTTCCTGTAGGTGTAAAGGAATCAATTAACATACGGTTCTCTCCTAATTACTTGATTCTAATTAGTCTTCTCTGTGTGCCTGAGCGCTCCGTCTTTCACGTTTGAAGGAATGACAATGGAAACAAATGAGATTGGTATTTCGGGTTTAAAGTACTCCTCGATGCTGGGAAAATTCAGAAGTACCCTAGCAGTGCCCGTCAGCATGGGGCAGTCTCTGATTGGTCTGGGCTTCTGTGTTTGGAAGAGACACTGCGTTGGTTCATGTGTAGTCCACTGTAGGACTGCCCAAGTCAGTCATGGAACTCACCAGGCGTGTGTGGCTATCGAGTTTTGGAAATGTGTCTACTTCAAGTTGAGATGGGCTCTAACTATGAGGTACACTCCAGATTTCAAAAACTTTAATAGGAAAAAAGAAAAGAACATAAAAACATCTCTTGAAGAGTGTTTGCATTTATTACAAGTTGTACGAATGGTACTTTGGATGTGTTGAGTGAAATACATCATTGAAATTAACTTCTCCTGTTTCTTTTTTATTTTTTTAATGTGGCTCCTAGAACATTTGGTTGGCATTATTTCTGTTGGTCAGGGCTGGTCTAGATAGTTCAGATTATTGTGTAATTCAAGTGAGAATACATACTCTTTAAAAATGATGTCAAATCATCCTGGGGCTTGTTCACACTTCTCATTGCCCACTGTGTAGGGAAGCTTCCATGATGCAGTAATTTACTTCAATCTCTTTTCAGTACTCAGGTCATGATGCTATTTGAAGAGTTATGGTGTTTTACATAAGACTTCTGAGAATTTTCTGATGCACAAAGAACATAACTGGTTGTTAACTTTAGCTTGATCGTCTTGATATCCAAGAACCCTGACAGTAAATGGCTCAGTTATGAGTGTGACTGTGTGAGCCACGCATCTGTTTATTGTAGGCAACAAGTGATGTCTTTGCTCTATGGAAACAAAAAGTTCAGTTATTGATATATTGATTGGAATCACATTTTGAACACATATTTAGTACTAGGGTAAAATTAGTCAAGTTTAAAAAAATGCAGAAAACCTAACATTAGAAAAGACAGTTAAATTAAGATTAGAGAAATATTCACATGGCAAGAAGAAACTGTTAAGGGAACCACGACGGCCATTTATAAAATCAGTGAGTACAACGTGTGATGTAGTAACACCAGCGAAGCTCTGTGATGGCCTCATTGTAAGATGCTAGCTCCCTTCAAGTGTCTTCCTTCCAGACGCCTCAGAACTATTTCTGTAAGTTCCTCTAGGGTTTCCAGATTTAGCAAGTGAAAATACAGGATGCCCTGTTCAATGCGACTATCAGATAAACAATGGAATAATTTTTAGTACAAATATGTCCTATGTCATATTTGGGTTTTGCATATACTCAGAATGACTTGTTAATCTGAAATGAAGAGTGTTGAGGACCCGCCCCTGCCCCATTTTCGCACCCTGGCCTCCTGCATCTTGGGGCTCCCCTCTGCCGCCTCACCCACCTCTGCCCCTTGGGTGGGCTCCTCTCAGGGCACAGATGTGGATGCTCCCTTGGGAGGGGCTGGAAGGCTATGGAAAGCTAGTCATGACCTCTAAAGGTGTCCGGGTCCCAAACCCTGAAATCTGTGAACCTGATGCTTTATAGGGTAAAAGCGACTTTGCAGGATGTGACTGAGTTACAAATACCGCCGGGGGGAAACTCCCCTGATTCACCATGTGGGCCCAGGATGCTCCCAAGGGTCCTTATAAGAGGGAGACAAGAAGGTCAGAGTCTGAGAAAAAGATGCACAAAAAGAGTGTAGGCTGGAATAGTGCACCCACGGGCCAAGGAATGCAGAAGCCTCTAGATGGAAGAAAAGGCAAGGTCACTGGTTCTCCCTGGAGCCCCCAGAAGCAACCCCAGCCTTGATTTTAGTCCCCTGAGACCCACCGCAGTGGACTTCTGACCCCCAGGACTGTAGGAAAGACTGTTATTTTAAGTCACTAGGTAGGTGGTAATTAACGACAACAGCAGCAGGAAACGAATACAAAGGCTGAGCTTGGCCTTCCCCTCGGCTCATCTGGGTCCTGCAGCCCAGCGGAGACCAGGTTGCAGCATCTAGAAGAATATTAACGATGGATCTGGGATCACAGAAGACAGGCAGAATCACACACAACCGCTGAAGAGGGTCATCTCCCAGCCCCCTCATCCCTGGGTTCATGGCCCGCTTTTGTCTCCCCACCAGTGCACCCCCAAGACTGGCCTCAGAACCCAAGGCTCTGAGGATGTGTTCCCCTGAACTCTAAGAAGAACTTCATCAGCTTTGATTTCTTTAGGATCATCGGTTTGTTCCACCTGCAGCCACAGAACATGAGCACGTTTCTCCAAACCAGTCTTCAATCCCACCTGCGTCCAGGCTGGGTTGGGCCAAGGGGAGGGATATCTTTTCAAGTCCCCCCTCTTGTTCTGGTCTTGACTTGGGGCTAGATGGGCCCATGTGTCTTTCTTGTAGCTTCAATGCCCCATCCACGCTGGCCTAAACCTGCAGTGAGGACACACACCCAGAGTTCTGTAAAGACACACAAGAAAGTGGGCTAAGGGTAGATCCAATCCTCACTTAAGAAAGAAGCCCTTCTCCATCTCTGATACCCTGAAGAGTGGGCAGCTCTGTCCACAAAAACAGCAAAGGTGCATTCATGGTACCCAGTGCCACGTTTTCTCAAAACTCTCCTTTCCTATAGGGTCTCTTTGACTTGCAGATACTGACGACTTTGACTAGTTTCCCCAGAGCCAATGAACAGACACCATCAAAATGTAAGTTCAAGCATCTCCTACTCAGGAAAAAAAAATACTGCTTACAAATGTATATGAGTTTTTCCAGTTCCTCTTTACTTGGATTCAAAACAACCAAAGTGACCATCTTGCCTCGTTATGTAGCTTCTGCATGAAATGGACTTGTTCACTGTATCCTAGACCCTAGTGTGAGGAATCATCCAGAAACTCAGAGTAAGCAGTTTTGGCATCGATAAGCATCAGCAGTGCAGGGGACCTCAGCCTGAGTTGCCATCTACACTGGTGGTTAGCTATCAGTATCACTACTCTAGCGGAAGAGTTTTCCTAATATTTTCTTCTTCTTTCAGCCATTTCTAATTTCTTGCTCAATTGAAAAATATTCCTTTCTAGCAAGGCTACCTGTATAATGCATGTTACGCAGAGTTAGTGCTCTGAAAACACATTTTAAATGGATGACAGTTGAGAGAGAAAAGCCGGAAAAGGACTCAGCATATTTTAAGATTCCAGTTTCTGATTCAGGGAGAGGGTGTGGAGCCCACAGAGCCTTGCGGATTTTCAGCCCCGAGCAAGGACACCAGAAGCTGCTCTCAGCCCCGTCCCCTGCAGACTTTCCATCAGTTTGAGGGATATAGGAAGTCTGACCGTCTGTGAGTCCACACTGAGAAAGTGAGAGGAGAAAACACCCAACTGACGAATTGAGAACTGGTTCATCTGGAATCTTTTATGTGCTTTGCTGAAGGTAAAGCTTTTCCTGGTAGGGGAGTGGAGGGGGAAGCTGCGTTGCAAGTCATAAATCTCTCAATTTGGAAAAAAATTGTGGAAACAAGTTTTCAGGGAAAAATGCTTTCTTTTAAAAAAATTAATGGTAATGTCAAAAGAAGAGACTTGAAGGCAGGGCATCTCCAAGTGCCATGCAGAGGTCCACCTGTGTTCCCTCATCCAGCCTGCCAGGTTCAGCTAAGTCCCTGGGGACACTTAGTTTCTGGCTCATGCCATCCTGAGTGGGTAACTCTGTCTGGCCCCTGATCCTACACACAAGGCATTTGTGTGGGCAGTGGACTTGGAGGACTGTTGGTGGTGATGGAGCTGTTGGTAACTCACACTAAATTTTAAATATCCTGTCCTCCAAAGCCCCTGGGGATCCTCCACATCAAGCCTCCCTCCTTCTTCCCTCCTCTCTTCTCTCCTTGACCTCTGCACCCCAAGCATCATCAACCTGTCTTTTACTGATCTGCTTCAAGCCAACTTGAATGGCGGAGCCTCTCTTTAAACCCCATGAACAGATTATTGAGGTATTTTCCAAAACATAGCCAGCCCTCCCTAAAAGAATGTTGGTCTTTTCATTAAAATGATTTAGGGAAAAGAAAAAAACACACCTTACTCCACAAAGATAGCATATGGGCCACGTGCTCAGTCATGTCCGGCTCTTTACGACCCCATGGACTGTACCCCTCCAGACTCCTCTGTCCATGGGATTTTCCAGGCAAGAATACTGGAGTGGGTGGCCATTTCCTTCTCCATGAGATCTTCCTGACCCAGGAATCAAACCCAAGTCTCCTGTGTCTCCTGCATTGCAGGCGGATTTTTTACCCGCTGAGCCTGCCCTTTAAGATTATATGCATTTTTGCAACATGTATGAAAACTCAGCCTTGCGTTAGCTTAATAACAAATTCATGTTTTTCTATCATTAAAATAACGAATGAAGAAGATTCCATGAGAAAGTGCAGTCGTGCACAGGATTATCTTATTATCTTCATTAAATATTTCCTGAGAAAGTGATAATTATGGTAGTCAAACTGTCAAAACCAAAATGAGTCACAAGACAAATATTGTAGTTAAACCCTCTAGTCCTCCAGGGTAGGCATTTGCCTACAAAATAGAGGTTTCTTAGTTCCTCTAATTAACAGAGAAGAGTTTTCTCAGAGGTGATAGAAATATGATCTCTTACCAAGATATTCCACTTTAGAAAACTTGCAAATTGTGGATTTATACTATATATGGTCATGTGATGTCATTTTCTAAAAGGGAGTTTGAGACCTACTTCAGGCAGGTCTAGCAGCACATAATTGGCAGTCAGGATATGCCGTGTCAAGAATTTGTGAACATATTTATGTGAGTATATGCCAGTGACACATGCATGTTATAACTTTTAGTCAGTTCGATGACTCTACATGGCAACCTTTAGTTGAAGATTTTCATGGGAAATTCTACTCATCCTTTTTCTAAATAGGAAAAAGTTTCTAAAGATGCCTTCAGAGGCTGGCTTACAGAGAGAAAACTAACTTGTATTATTTTTTCATGGGGTTTTCCCGGTGGCTCATATGGTAAAGAATTCACCTGCGATGCAGGAGACCTGGGTTAAATTCCTGGATTGGGAAGATGCCGTGGAGAAGGGGATGGCTACTCACTTCAGTATTCTTGCTTGGAGAATTCCATGGACAGAGGTTATGGTCCATGGGGTTGCAAAGAGTTGGACACTACTGAGAAATGAATTTACAGAGAGAAATTGAACTTGTATCATCTTTTGTAGCAAATATGTGACTTTTTCCAGTAGAGCAAGTGTTCCTACTTTCAGGTCTTCTATTTCCACTCTGTAAATGAAACTCTCCCCTCCTGGCCCTGCAAACAGTGCGCCTCCAAGCTTTCAGGGAACTGAGAAATCAGAAGGCACAGCTTTACAGGCACTTCATTCACTGCTGATTAAATATTCAAGCAGCATTTTTTTTTTTTGGGCTTTTGTAGTTCACAAAGATAAACTCTTACTTAACATTGTTCCTTTATTCCATAGGAATTGGATTATTATTCTTCCATGAAATTTCAAAATTTGTGTTGTAGTTGGCAGCTAAGCACATCTAGGTTCAAAATAGAAACTTCAAGTTTAAGAAGAATTTCTGAAAAGTTTAAGAGGATGCAAATATCAGAAGGCAATAAGTTTCATTTTAAAGGAGGTATTGAATCCACCCCAGGGGAATTTATTTTAATAGATGAATTTATCATAACCAATAAGTATTGCATGCTGCAATGAGATACTGCTGTGTGGCATTCATCAATGACCAAGACCCAGCCTGCTCTCTGTTGGCCTGTATGACCTACTAAAGAGAATGGGCTTGTGCACTCATGGTTCTAATAGAGACAGCAGAAAGGCAGGATCCAGAAAGTTTCCCTGGTAGGTGGATTGGAGCTGGGCCTCCAATGATTCGGCTGAGTAGGGATGGGAGTTAGGGAAGGACGCTCCAGAAAGAGGAACCTATGTGAGCAAAGCCCCAGAGCATGTGCTTAGATGATGTTCAAGCCTGAGACCCTGGGAACTGGGTGATTTATCAAAGTCATAAAGAGACGGTGTAGGGGGTCGGAAGGAGCTCGTTTAAAGTGATGGAATTCTCTTCCCATACCATGAGACATGGGGTTAGATTTCCTGACTGGACTCTTGACATCTTTCTGGTGCTCCTTTTGGAGAGAGGGGTCAGGGTCCAGCACTTCTATGTGAGGTGAGGCTTTCGGGGTCAGACTTGCAGCGACCAGGCAGAGTACTCATTACTCCAAAGAGTGGGGCTTTTGTTTTCTGAGGGATCATGCTCATGATTGTGTTGAGCAGGCTTTATGATGACATTCAGGTTTGCACTCACATGTAATGTCATGCAAATCGACAGTCTGATGCAAGAAGGGCCAACAAGTGCTGGTAAAGCAAAGTGGAGGGAGGTCGGGAGGAAAGACGTAAGTGGTGCCAAGTGTGTACTTGGCATTACAGCAGGGGTGATGCCACGGGCCGAGTAAATCCATTTACATTTCTGATAAATAACGGCTGCTGTTGTCACCGTGCAGGGATATCAGGTTCCCTTCATGCTCCATCCTTCTCACAAAGAATCCATTAGTCTTGCATGAATCTTCAATTATCCTGTTACCCAGTCTGCAGAAAGCAGAGTTATTTTAGTTGATGGAAAAAATCTCCTTTTTACTCTCCTAACTGCTTAAACAGGGATCAGACTCTCAAACATTAATAATCTTTTCTCACATCACACAAAATATTAAGGGAACAGTTCCATGGATTTTCTGTACAATCAATACTTTGATGCATATGTGCAGAATCCATCCTTGTCCATTCGCTCATTCAAAGAACTTCTGCAGGGCACCTAGTATGTGCCGGGAACTGGGATAAATCCTGGAGACTTTTGTCCACGTGACAAGGGACCCATCTACTTTGTTCAGGAGATTTGACACATTAGGGCTATTGCTTATCAACCCCAACAGGAAGAACATTTTTAATAACACTGTTGTGAAGTTGCTTCTACTGATAATGAGCCATCAAAGAGCTTAGATTTTTTTTATGTTTAATTTTTTGATAAAAAAAGAATTATAAAATTATAGAAAAGTTGCAATGGGAATATAAAGAATGGTTTTCTTTGTTGAAAAATGAATATATTATTAATCCTCAGATTTGAAAAGATTTCACTGAAAAATAAAATTTTGATTGATCTTACTGATAAAGATTTATGTTAAATTTTTATGTAAAAGGTTATCCAAAAGAATGCAATAGCACATGAAAGATACCTTAAGTACAAGTGAGATTTGGGAATTCCCTGGTGATCCAGGGGTTAGGACTCTGCTCTGACTGCCAGGCCCTGAATTCTATCCCTGGTCTGGGAACTAAGATCTTGCCACCAATGTGGCATGCTCCCAAACAAAACAAAACTCTTAAGTGAAATTCATTCTAGAGTGCAAGGATGTCTGTTAGTAGGAAATATACTTATACACCATACTACGGACAGCAAGATCAAACCTGTCAATCCTAAAAGAAATCAGTCCTGAATATTCATTGGAAGGACTGATGCTGATGCTGCAGCTTCAATACTTTGGCCACCTGATGCAGAGAACTGACTTATTGGAGAAGACTTTGATGCTGGGAAAGATTGAGGGCAGGAGAAGGGGCCGACAGACAATGAGATGGTTGGATGGCATCATCGACACAATAGATAGGCGTTTGAGCAAACTCTGGGCGATGGTGGAGGATAGGGAAGCCTGCTGTGCTGCAGTCCCTGGGGTCACAAACATGACTTCTCGACTGAACAACAATTAATGGAGCTAAAGGGATAAGTCATACGATCACCTCCACAGATACAGAAGAGGCTCTTGACACAATTCCATATATATATTAGACTGCTACAGGTGTTATTCCAAAGTACCACAGACTTGTGGGCAAGGACAACAGAAACATATCTTCTGACAGGTCCGGAGGCTGGGAAGGCCAAGATCAAGGTGGTTTCTTCTGCGGCCTCTCCCCTCGGGGTGCACGTGGTCTGCTTCTCGCTGCCTCACCTGGTCTTTCCTGTGTGCACTTGCTCCTAGAGCCCCTTAGAGGGTCTGAATTCCCTCTTACAAGGACAGCAGTCAGAACAGATTAAGGCCCACCCTCCTGGCTTCATTTTAACTTAAACCCCATTAACAGCCTTTTCTCCAAATACAGTCACCCTCGGAGTACTGGAGTCAGGACTTCAGTCCCTAACAATACCCATTCATTTTATAAACACTTAGTCATATAGGAACTGATGGGTACTGCCAAAACATGACAAATACAGATGCTTCGGACCAAAGCTAGCTTTTTACTTAATTGCAAAGCACTTGGGGCTTTGCTGTCAAGGTCTGGAACAAGAACTAACGGCCACTAATGTCTCTACTACTGCTAAATATTGTGTTGTTAGCCAATAAAATCAGACAAAATAAAACATTTACAGAGAAGATAGAAAAATAATATAAGTACATTTCTATTTATAGATAATATGACTATGTAGCAATGCAAAGAATTGGTGGGAAACTACTATATAACAGTAAGGAAATTTAGTAAGTTAAGTTATAAAAGCAACACACAAATCATTGGGGGTTTAGCTGTATCCAGCTCTTTTGCAGCCCTCTGAACTGTAGCTGACCAGGCTCCTCTGTCCCTGGGATTTCCCAGGCAAGAACACTGGAGTGGGTTGCCATTTCCTTCTCCAGAGGATCTTGCCGACCCAGTGATTGAACCCAAGTCTCCTGCCTTGTAGGTAGACTCTTTACAACTGGGTCACCAGGGAAGCTCACACAAATCAATAGTTGTCATAAATATAAGCAAAAACCAGTTAGAAAACTTGCTGGAAGAGAGGACTGCACTTATAACAGAAAGAAAATGAAATACTTAGAGATAAACTTACATAGAAATGTCTAAAACATTATGGAAAACTTTAGCACCCTGGAAGATACAAAAAAGGCCATGAACAGCAAAAAAATAGTGCCATGTTTGAATAGAAAAACTCATTTTCACAAATATCTTTGTGAATGTCAGTTCACAAAGAAATGTCAGTTTTTCACAGGACAATTTATAAATTAAAGTTTATGTTGAAGAACAAATGAGGAAGAGTCACAAGGAAAACCTAGAGGAAAAAGAGCCAATTTAAACATTAAGTTAAACATACTATAAAAATTCTAGAATTAGAATATTAAAACACGCCAGACAGGCTCTGTAACTAGAATACCATGGAACTGGTCCTTGCATAGACAGACCAATGAACAGAGTTGAAAAATCTGGAAATAGACCCAACTGCACATGGAAATTTAGTACTTAATGAAGACGGATCTCAAACCATTGAGGAAATAGCAATGACATGTCCCTTCAGAGGAGGTGACAGTTACAGGGTATCCTGGGCTAGAGACCATCTGCCCCAAACTGACATGCTTCCCAGAAACTCGGAATATGGTATGATTTGGAAGTGCGATCACTAAAGATGCCACTGGTTCAGATGAAGTTGTGCTGGAGTAGGGTGGCCCTTAATCCAACATGACTGATGTCCTTGTAAGAAGAGATGGGGAGAGAAACATGGCAAGATGAGTGGTGATGGAGGCAGAGATTGGAGTGCTGTGTCTACAAGCCAAGGGAGGCCTCAGTCCAGTTCAGTTCAGTCGCTCAGTCGTGTCCGACTCTTTGTGACCCCATGGACTGCAGCATGTCAGGCTTCCCTGTCCATCACCAGCTCCCAGAACTTGCTCAAACTCATGTCCATCGAGTCGGTGATACCATCCAACCATCTCATCCTCTGTTGTCCCCTTCTCCTCCCAACTTCAATCTTTCCCAGCATCAGGGTTTTTTCCAATGAGTCAGTTCTTTGCATCAGGTGGCCAATGTATTGGAGTTTCAGCTTCAGCATCAGTCCTTCCAGTGAATATTCAGGACTAATTTCCTTTAGGATTGACAGGTTTGATATCCTTGTAGTCCAAAGGACTCTCGAGTCTTCTCCAACACCACAGTTCAAAAGCATCAATTCTTCGGCACTGAGCTTCCTTTATAGTCCAACTCTCACATCCATACTTAACTACTGGAAAAAACATAGCTTTGACTAGACAGACGTTTGTCAGCAAAATAATGTCTCTGCTTTTTAATATGCTGTCTAGGTTGGTCATGGCTTTTCTTCCAAGGAGGAAGCGTCTTTTAATTTCATGGCTGCAGTCACCATCTGCAGTGATTTTGGAGCCCAAAAAATAAATTCTCTCACTGTTTCCATTGTTTCCCTATCAAAGGGAGGCCTAGGATGGTGGTTAACACCAGACGGACAGACTCTGCTAGAAGCTTCAGAGGGAACACAGCCCTGCCAACACTTTGACTTCACATTCGTAGTCTCCAGCACTATGAGAGGAAAAATGTCAGTTTTCTTTTTACTTTTTTTTTAAATTGGAGTCTAAGCGTTGCAATGATGTGTTAGTCTCTGCCATACAGCTGAGTGAATCAGCCACACGTGCGCCTGTATCTGCTCTTCCTCGGATTTCCTTCCCATTTAGGTCACACAGAGCGCTGAGCAGAGCGCCCTGTGCTGTTCAGTAGGTTCTCATTAGTCACCTATTTTATACATAGCAGTATATACATGTCAGTCCCATCTTCCAGCTCATCCCAGCCACCCCGTGTCCCCCTTGGTGTCCACACCTCTGTTCTCTGCATCTCTGTCTCTATTTCTGCTTTGCAAATAGCTTCATCTGTACCGTTTTTGTAGATCCCACATATATTCATTAATACATGATATTGCTTTTCTCTGCCTTCACTCTGTATGGCAGTCTCTGGACTTAGAGCATCAAATGTCTGCTGTTCTAAGCCACCCAGTCTGCGGTCCTTTGTTAGAGCAGCCTTGGGACCCTCATACATGGGGCATCAAAACAGAGAAGCTTCTCAGCAGGAGATGGGATCTGCCCGCCTGTGAGGACTCCATGCTGGGGTACTTAGGGGCATAAATCCTTTGCTCTGATTCCCTTCCCTTCCTCTGAGCTCCGGATCTGAGCTCTCCAGGGTGGTGGGCGCTCATCAGACGTGGCTATGGTGCCCTTGAAATGTGGCTAATCTGAATTGGGATGTGCTGTGTCACACACACACTGGAATGCAAAGATTTGGTGAGGAAAGGGATTGTAAAACTTGTCATAAACAAGTATCTTTTCATATTGATCACAAGCTGACATGGGAATGTTTCAGATATATTGAATCAAATAATATACATTATTAAAAGGTGCAAGTGCTCAGGCCTGGTGCACTGGGAAGACCCACAGGGATCTTCCCTCTGGGTAGAGAGGGAGGTGGGAGAGGGGATCGGGATGGGGAATACATGTAAATCCATGGCTGATTCATGTCAACGTATGACAAAAACCACTACAATATTGTAAAGTAATTAGCCTCCAACTAATAAAAATAAATGAAAAAAAATAAAAGGAGCTTCACCTTTTTCATTTTACTTTTTAAAATGTGGCTACTAGAAAATTTTGAATGAAACACGAGACTCACACCAGTGGCTTGCATCTTATTGTAGTTGAATAGCACTGCTGAAAGAGCCAGAGGCAAGGCATCCTATTGAGATGGTCCATCACGTCAGCTTCCTGGGCCCAGAACAGTGGGAGAAGGGAGGAGAGTGGATCCAAACAGACAAGCAAAAGATATCACATAAGTACCTATTGTGTGCTAGGCATGATTCTGGGCAAGCACCTACCATGTGCTAGAAATAACTGTGGAGACTGGGCATAAAGCAGTGAAAAATCCAGATGAAAGATGGCAGAGCCTTAGGATGGTAGCAGAAGAAATGGAAAGAAGAGGAGGGATTCTAAAGTGTCTTGGAGACAGAATCAACAGAACTTAGGGACTGGACAGGGGCAGAGGGAGGAGCCAGGTTTGCAGACGGAGAAGTGCGTGAACAGTGATATCATTTCCTGAGACATGAGCAGCTACAAGATGCAACTTCGGTGTGGGAGAGGGAAGATGGTTTCCATGTTGGAAATAATGAATTTATTTGGTTGAATGTATGGAAGTAGAGATGAGGGGGAATTGGAAGAGATTCTGATTTGGGAATTATCAGCAACAAATCATTGCCACTTAAATATTTTTGACATTAGTTATTTGAGACACTGACTATGATCCCAAGTCACCGTGTTTGCCTTCCCAGTTGAAGAAACACTTTCAATAACCATAAAATTTCACCATTCAAAGACATTCTGAGGGAATTATTTCTATAATCACAAAATAATATGTGTATATTTATCATTATATAATTATCTGTAATAACACCTCACAAATCTTAGCAATAGGAGTCTGAAGGGTTCAAATTTGTACTGTAACACATTGTCCTAAATCTGGGCACTGGAAAATTATGGGCCAAAATTGCAATGGATGCTAATAGGCATCTCATTATATAGCCGACCAAATAGCTCACAAGAAATTAAAGTGATAATGATGAAGTCAAACTAATAAAGATTTCTAATTAAAATGGAATAATAGCAGCAAGCCCAAATCACAACAACTCAAGGCAGCATTGACGATGTGTTAATGACTAAGCATTATCCTTGAAAATTCCAAATGCTTATTTGCACAGAAGTAGGAGAAAAGCGATACTGTCTGGCAGAATCCTCAGTAAATTCTTATATGGGTCTGACTTTAGTTTAAGAACTCCAAATTTAGAAACACATTTCATGGGTAACTCTTAGTCTCATAAAAATAATAGACTTTGGAACTGCATGCCATTTGTCCATTAGGAAAAAAAAAGCAATTTGTACAAAAGTATTTGCACAGAAGTGTTTTTTTTGTTTGTTTGTTTTTGTTTTTTCTTTCTTTTTTTAAAAAAATTAACTTGTTTTAATTGGAGGCTAATTACAATATTGTGGTGGTTTTTGCCATGCATTGACATGAATCAGCCATGGGTGTATGTGTGTCCCCATCCTGAACCCCCCTCCCACCTCCCTCCCCATCCATCCCTCAGGGTTGTCCCAGTGCACCGGCCCTGAGCACCCTGGCTCATGCATCGAACCTGGACTGGTGATTTGTTTCACATATGGTAATATACATTACCATATGCTATTCAGTGCTATTCTCTCAAAGCATCCCACCCTTGCCTTCTCCCACAGAGTCCAAAAGTCTGTTCTTTATATCTGTGTCTTTTCTGCTGTCTTGCATATAGGGTCATTGTTACCATCTTTCTAAATTCCATATATATGCATTAATAACATTGATGTTTTCTTTCTGACTTACTTCACTCTGTATAATAGGCTCCAGTTTCATCCACCTCATTAGAACAGATTCAAATGCATTCTTTTTATTTATTTTTTTTCCATTTATTTTTATTAGTTGGAGGCTAATTACTTTACATCATTACAGTAGTTTTTGTCATACATTGAAATGAATTAGCCATGGATTTACATGTATTCCCCATCCCAGTCCCCCCTCCCACCTCCCTCTCCACCCGATCCCTCTGGGTCTTCCCAGTGCACCAGGCCCGAGCACTTGTCTCATGCACCCAACCTGGGCTGGTGATCTGTTTCNATTCTCTCTTTGGCACTAACAACCTAAACGACTTTTCAAGTTTGGGCTGTTGGGCCGGGGGAGATCTCACAGCCTCGCAGGGACAGACTGAGATGCCCAGCTGCGGGTGGTGGTCGGAAGCCTGAGAATTGATGAGACTGCTCAGGGTGGGGACATAGCGCAGGAATCCTCCAGTCAGGAGATCCTCCATCCATTGAACCTTGAGGACCACTGTCCAAGAGGACAGCTCTTGAAAGGTTTCCTCTCGACAAATATCATTGCTCTCTCCATGAAGCAATCAATGTCCGTCCACATGTAATGAGTATCCTACACTGACTCAGAAAAGTGAAGCCCGCTTGTCATGAGGTCTGCAGGGCCTCCCATTCTCCAGGCACTCAGCTTCTTCTGTCTCCTTCGCTGTTGGGGGACGAGGTCTCCATCGGGGTCTTGTAACCAATGTAAGAATCAGCGCATATGCAGATAGGGTGACATCAGTGTCGACTAGGTGACACATGGCATGGGCAGTGCGTCTCAAACACTCTTTTTAAAAAAAATTAATTTATTTTAATTGGAAGCTAATTACTTTACAGTATTGTAGTGGTTTTTGCCATACGCTGACATGAATCAGCCATGGGTGTACATGTGTCCCCATCCCCATCCCCCCTTCCACCTCCCTCCCCATCCCATCCCTCTGGGTCATCCTGACTGAGAACCCTGGGAACTCCCATTTATGTGGGGTTTTGTTAGCATTACCATTAACTTTTGTTAATGCATATTTCCCACATTGGAACTTAACTGAAACATTCAAAATGATTTATTAATTCATTTAAAAAGAAAGATAACAGGCCTATTACATGGTAACATAGATAACATATTAACTTTTAAAATTGAAGTATAGTTGATTTACAATGTTGTGTTCATTTCTGCCCTGCAGCAAAGTGGTTCAGTTATACATGTATATTCTTTTCCGTTATGGTTTAGCACAGGATATTGAATGTAGTCCCCTGTGCTATACAGTAAGACCTTGTTATTTATCCATTCTATATACACTAGTTTGCGTCTGCTCACCCCACTCTCCCAATCCTCCCCTCCCCCATTCCCACTCCTTCGTGGCAAGTGCCAATCTCTTCTCCGTGTCTGTATGTTTCTGTTTCATAGATAAGTTCATTTGTGTCATGTTTTATTTATTTTATTTTTTGGGCTGCACCTCGAGGCTTGCAGAATCTTAGTTTCCCAACCAGGGATCAAACCCAGGCCTTGGCAGTGAAAACACCAATTCCTAACCACTGGACCACAGGGGATTCCCTGCATTATACTTTAGATTTCACATATGAGTGATATTATACAGTATTTGTCTTTCTCTGTCTGGCTTACCTCACTTAACATGATAACCTCTAGGTTCATTAATGTTGCTGCAAATGGCATTATTTCATTCTTTTTTAGTGGCTGAGTAGTATTCCATTGTTTGTATATACCTGATCTTTTTTATCCATTCATCTGTCAATGGATAGGTTATTTCCAAGGCTAAAATTAAATAATTAAAATTTGTTAAATTTATTAAATATTAAATTTTATTTAGATAAATTTAAATTAAAAAATATATTTTCCAAGAAAAACACAGTGAGAAGAGTGGCATTGTTGCACATTTTTATGTACCTCTTTAACATCTGGTTTAGTAGAAGACAGCTACTTTTCTCTTATCTAAATCTTTATGGAATGGAATGTGTTTGGCTGAGGTATATGAGAAATGCCTGGCCTCACAGAAAGGTGGTTGGAGAAAGAGGATGACTCTGATGGTCTTTTCAGATAATTGTGGCTATTCTGCTTGTGTACCATACCAAAGCTTGAGAGGGATAGTGTCCTCAAAAGTTAGTTGCAATGTGGAATATGAAATGATACCAGTGAACTTCTCATTCTCTGTTATAGTAAAACTTATTTTCCTATCTTGTACTTTGGATGGACCTTCTCTCCATGCATCACTCTGTAACACTATGCATTGGCCACTTGGAAACACTGGTTCACGGTATGAGGCAGCCCTCCCGAATGTTGCTACACCTTATTAGACACTATCAAAAATCACATTGCTTGATATCATCTCTAATCACATCCGAGAAGTGTTTACATATTGGAAAGCTCTCCACCTTGTGGGAGCACATGCTAGTTTTCCAACATCTAACTTTCACCTGAAAGCTTGAAATTTTATCATCAGCAACAAATTATATCAGTTGTTTTCCTTGAAGTGACAGGCTGACTTCATTCACTCTGAGAAAATGTCGGCTAGTTACCCAAGTCTGAATAACCATTGCTTGTCAGAGGCTCATTCAAGGAGAAACAGAATTCTATGAAAAAAAATATTGTTTAGTTTAGTGCACAACTGAATGGGTGTTAGTAAACTGAGGGGTCCGCAGACCCTAGGTGGTGACCTACTGATACAGCTGATCCTCATCATTCATGGACTCAGTATTTATGAATTCAGCTACTCACTAATTTATTCGTGGCCTCCAACCAATACTGCACGTTTGTGGTCATTTGTGGACAAGCACGTGAATACAGGAGCTTAAATCTCAGTGTGCATTTTCCCAGCTGAAGTCAAACACACTGACCCTCTGCCTCCTTGTCCAGCTTTCAGACCTTAAACCAAGGTTCTTTATGCAGCTTATGTAGTATCACACTGCTAGCTTTAATTCTGTGCTTTTTGTTGGTGATTTTACTGTTTAAAATGACCCCACCTGTTGTACAAAATTTATACCCACTGTTTCTGAGCACAGGAAGGCTGGGATGTGCCTCATGGAGAAAAGACACCTGTCACATGAGTTTTGTTTTGGCGTGAGTTACAGTGCTGTTGACCACGCATTCATTGTTAATGAGTTAACAGTTGTTGTTGTTCAGTCATTAAGTCATGTCCACTCTTTGCAACCCCATAGATTGCAGCATGCCAGGCTTCACTGTCCTTCACTATCTGCCAGAGTTTGCTCAAACTCATGTCCATTGAGTCGGTGATGCCATCCAAACTTCTCATCCTCTGTTGCCCTCTTGTCCTCCTGCCCTCAATCTTTCCCAACATCAGGGTCTTTTCCAATGAGTTGACTCTTTGCATCAGATGGCCAAAGTATTAGAGCTTCAGCTTCAAGCATCAGTCCTTCTAATGAGCATTCAAGACTGATTTCCTTTAGGATTGACCGTTGGATCTCCTTGCAGTCCAAGGGACTCTCAAGAGTCTTCAACACCACAGTTCAAAGGCATCAATTCTTCGGTGCTCAGCTGTCTTTACAGTCCAACTCTCACATCCATACATGACTACTGAAAAGATCATAGCTTTGACTAGATGGACCTTTGTTGGCAAAATGTCTCTGCTTTTTAACAAGCTGTTTAGGTTTGTCATAGCTTTTCTTCTAAGGAGCAAGCATCTTTTAATTTCATGGCTGCAGTCACCATCTGCAGTGATTTTGGAGCCCAAGAAAATAAAGTCTCTCACTGTTTCCATTGTTTCCCCATCTATTTGCCATGAAGTGATGGGACTGGATGCCATGATCTTCGTTTTTTGAATGTTAAGTTTTAAGTTAGCATTTCACTCTCCTCTTTCACCTTCATCAAGAGGCTCTTTAGTTCCTCTTCACTTTCTGTCATAAGGGTGGTGTCTTCTGCGTATCTGAGGTTATTGATATTTCTCCCAG